TTCTGTAGCTATAACAGAATTATTACCAATGTCTATATTAATATCACCATGTATTAAACATTTATTTAAATTATTATTAGTATTATTAATAAGATATACTTCTAAATCACTTATAAAAAGATCTACGTTATCATTAGGAGATCTATAAATACCAAGAATAGTATAAATGCTATTATTTTTTTTGAATTGTAATTCTAAAAAGTTACTGTTATTGATTATGGTGTCCTTAACATTTAATAATTTAATTTGCTCTTTAATCAATATAGTGTCACCATAACTTTTATTAAATTTACCTATTGAGTTAAGAGTCGGATAACCATTTAACATAAATTTAAAATCATAAGCAAGCCATGTTTCACTCAAAATATTTACATCGTAATCACAATTATTTGAATCCAGAAATATGGCAATTCATCAAAATGTAATCTAATACTTCTAATATTTAAAGCTAATAATGAAATTGAGTTTTCATTTATAACATTTTGAGCAATATTATTTTCTAAAACTATGGAGTTAATATTATTTATCGAATCAATTGCATTTATTATATCTACATTCATAATAAAATTTAAAAAACAAAAAGAATTACCTTAATATTAAATACTCACAATTTATTAACATCTCATTCAGATTTAATTTTTATTATTTTTGAGCCATCTTTTTTCCTGACTAATACTTCAGCATTATTGGTCCAAACATAATTGTATTGTTTTTCTTTGCATATGGTCCTAGTTTTCGCAAATAACAATCTTTTGAATTTGGTGAGTATCTCATTACAAACTATTTTAACATCTGAAGACCAGATATTAGCAACCATATTTGCATTCTACTTTATTTTTTTTTATTTTATGGAGAAGATCATTTTTTATTCCAAAGTATTAATCTCTGCTATTCGAATTCCTGAGTTACTTTCCTTTGTTGGCAATAGTTTGAATTATGCGGAGCAATTTTCATTTAGAGTTTTTGGTATGCCTATTATTTCGATACTATGACGAAGGTTGTATTGTTCTAATACACCAAATTTAATCTTTAATGAATCAATTTCATTATTAAGTTTCATATTTTCCAATTTAATTAAATATGAAACACATTAGTGTTGTTCATTTCACATTTATAGTTCAGTGGGTACTGCTCAATACCAAATAGATACTCAAAGGTTAAGTGAAAAAAAGGTTTGATATTATTAGTAAGCAAACTAAATACAAATATATTATAATATAAGATAATAATAAATTACTTACCTGGTTATGATGAAACCAACTTCCCACAACACTTGAGTTTTCAGTATCCAGAGACAATTTTTTTTTTTTTAATATTTAACAAGATAACATATTAAATAAAACATTAAATTGATTTATCTTTCTCCTGTAAGCTACAATAAGGTAACCCTTTTAATACAATCTCATAATCGGTTTTGTTTTTGGTACAAGTTGTGAAAACAATATTCTCCAAAAAATTAATAACGCATTAATAGGCCTTTTGGACTTGGATTCCATCGAAGCATATGCTGTTGGAATAAACTACAAAAAATAAATGTATTGGTTTAATACTCTAACATTTTTTAAAGTAAATACTATTGTCTATTATTAAAATAAAGAAGATAACTTCGAAAATATCCAATCAGACAATGGATGCTAAGTAGCTGATATTCACCAGTACAACTTTAAAGATTGCATCTGCATGGACCTCAATTATATTCTTCTCCAAAACTACTTGAATAAGTTGGCAGCAGGCTAACACTAAGTTTTGTATTCCTAGTCATAAATTAGTAATTAATATTATTTTAATTAAAGAACTTAATTTCATATTTGATTTATAGGTTGATAGAGTAAAAAGTCTGTATGTCCTTCCGACACTGAAGCAATTTAATTAATTTTGGTTAGATTGTTTTCATGACTCATTTTAAGTAGCTCATTCCGCATATTACAGTGAGTAATAAAAATAATATTTTATAATTCATTTATCTAAAATTTAAAATGTATTAAAGTCTACTACTGATGATTGTGATGAATATTATATTAATTAAAATTGTTTTATTTAATATAGACATAATTACCATCACTATCAGTGACACAGCAAAGAAGTATATCTAAATTACAGCACTGAAACCTGTGTATTTCGCCATTTTCAAATTTGTTGGCCAATTCTTCCAGTGCCTGTGGAAGACTTGGTTGCGAATTCCTTCTAAAAGCAAAAATGACGTCGTCAGCAGTTGGCCATGGAAACAATGCAGCTGCAAGAGTATGTCTGTAACAGCACAAAATTACGAATAAGATAAAATTGTTAGGTACCTACAATGATGCCTAAATACTTAATGCTGTTACATTCATATTTATTTTAATTACCTTCCAGATTCATCATCATACATACATTTTAAAGGAATATTATTGTTCATGTAGCCTGTTTCTACACCTTATTTCTGAACATTTTCACCAAATACTGATTACTATGGTTGGATCTTTCACAGCCCACAGGTACGTGCTCTTAATTGTATAAATGAAACATTCACATTCTTTTTTGCTGTGCCTGGGAAAAACAAATTGTTAGATTTGGCTCGTTCATAATAACTGCAAATAATAAATAATTTGATTGGACAAATATTGAATACAATGAACACAGTACATTTTTACTTTTAGTCGGTGGCATACATACTGGCTACTGCACTACCAAAATTATGTAGGTATCTATTTAATTTTAATTTTGATTTTAAGAATACAATTTATTTAATTATAAGTATAGGATTAAAATAAAAATGTATTGTACATAAAATTAAAGTTGTTTACTTACATGATTCTTTTTATTTTTCAATTATTATCAATTATCATAAATAAATTCTAGATGATCCATGTCAGTTAAAAAAGTGTTTTAGTATTATCTAAATAATATGTAATATAACATATATTACCTTCTACCTGTATCTATTAAACGCTTAATACAACAGCTCATAATATGTTCATATAGCTCGTAATAATAATAATTATCATTTATTTGGATTGAATCAAAAATATATTTTTATATATAGCCCATTTATACCAAGCATATCTTTGATGCCATTTTTATTTCAATATAGTTTTAAAGCCATATTATACCTATTATTTAATATACAGCAGGGTACACATATTATAATACAACACACCTTCATTCACGGAGCTTATATATCTACTTTCCGGGTAATCCTTACCCCTCCTTATTCAGAAACGACACTCGACAGTAACTGATAAACATACTCGTTTTCTCTGTGTTATTTAAAAAATTATTGACTCCTAGATTTTTGTAAAAAACATTTTGGAAATATTATACATTGTAATTTGTCTATAACACTCCAATAGCATTCTATGCATATTGAAATGTGCTGCTCTGGGCATATAATTGATATAGAATGAAAATGTATATAATTAAAAATGATATTAGATTAATACAGCAATATTATTATGTGATGAATATGAGGCCATGTTTGAAGTCAACATTTTCTTTTAATAAATTTATATTTTATTATAATAATATATTAATATAAATATTACTAAACAGTAAACATCATACATTTGTTATAATTTCAAGCACGCTACTTAAAAATAAATGGTGTACTTGAAAAAAAATTAATTTGGGTCTCAAAAATATTTGCTGGCCATTTCAGCCAGTATATATATACTAACATATTAATTAATAATTATATTTTGTTACTTGCAGGCAACGGATTGCTTACGAATTTCATTGTTAGTTCTTCGAATAATTTATAATAAGTCGTATTTTCACTAGTTTAATGTACAGACGTTATATATATTCGCTATAATATATCGTACTGTTGTATTACTATTTTCTTTTTAGTTTATTGTATTAGAATCAATTCTAATTTAATATTTGCTTCAACTTTCTGATCAGTCGATCAATTATTGTTTACATACAGTCTCACCATGGTTCATGTTTTCGTCAAGCGTTTTAACCGCAAGTTACAGGCTTTCTGCAGTAAGTACCAATTGAACATTTAAATATTTTCTGGAAATATTTGGCGATACAGCTACAGGTGCGCGAATGTTGGTCGAGTGAACGAAATAAGACTGCTTGCAAATAATGTTTATTGTCCGCTTGCTAGCATATAATAGATATATTTAGCTACGACCGCGGGCTCGCCGTGATTTAATAACACGGAAGTTTTAAACGCCACCCATTTGCACCAGCGAAGTATTGTATCCCCGTCGTGTGTGAACGCGGGATGTGATCAAAAAACACGAGGCCTGGGGCCTTGGCCCTGAACCCTCCCCCCTAAAGACCTCCCAGCGCACCTTTAATAAGTCTCGACTTCGCCGACGGTCTACACGTGAATAGATCTGATTATGAATATAATATCCAGCCAAAACCGTGGACTCGGGTCTACTCCGTGAATCAGGGGGGGGGGATGTCAGGGCACCATTTGTTTTCTTTCTCTAACCCACTTTAAACATAGAAAGTTTATGTTTAGCAGAACTAAACCCGTGTTGTTAACATAAATTACCCCAAATTTACCTACAAACAGCTTTAAGCTAAGAACATTAACCTATTATGCGTAGAACTTTTAAGGATATTTAAATTTTTTCACAATTTGAAAGCTTGTTTTACAATCGTAATAATTTATGCATGTTCGTAAATTGTATGGTAATCAAAATATCGTAGTATAACGAACGTCGTAGGGACACAGGTGTTCTTCGTAACTTAAGGTTTGAGAATTGGCGAATTCGCTCCAATATTAAAAGTAACCACACACAGTGGGAGGAATTGAGGTTTTACCGCGACAAAAATGAAAAAAAAAATATCACAATATAGGTAAAGACTAAGTAAATAATCATTAGTTATTATCTACTGATCATATAAAATAGATACTTATCTCAAGTTATATACGTTTATATCAACACTAATAGTAGCCAAAGCAACGGTAATTTAGAATAATCAACATTACGTAGCTATTCGGATATACTATTATATTATATATCCGATTATATATCCGATATACTATTATTATATATCCGATGGCCAAAGAGTGCGTGTTTCTGTTAGTCATATTGTTTCAACTGATCGACGCTGGTACCGGAAGTCAGGACGTTCACGGCACCGTCCTGTACAAGCTCACCGACGTCGACCGGAAGACGTGGACGGACGCCGATCGTGTAGAACTCCAATGCCGGAAGTTGGTCGGGTCCCTGATTCCCGGTGCGAATTTCAGCAACGGCGACGGCGACGGCGAAAGGTTCCTGGAGTACTTCAGCCTAATCAAAGGCCAAGCGAAGAAAATCGTGTCGTCGGTGGCCAGAAAAAGGGCTATGATCGCCATCGTGGACGCCCTGGGGGGGTACCTACACACCAAACTTTTGCCAAATGTCAGAGAGCAGTACTACGCTGGTCGGGCCACATACTCGACGGTCAAACGGTTACACGACCTTGAAAAAAACATCAAGTGAGTGTTTTTTTTTTCGTTGGCAGCTGTCGTTTTAAGACAATAGTGTTTATAAAAATTTTAATTTTAATTTGAATATTTACTCTCGAGTTCCTTGCAGCGGAGTGACCACGTCGTAAGTACCGCAGACATGGCGGCGTTCATAGGTATATAACGAACCTTTCTATTTTTTTCCCCCGTGACGTGTTCCGTACCATTTACATCCGATCTTGTAACGACTTACGACGACTATATATTACCCCGTGCCCACTCAACTCACACGTTTACAACCGTGTAACACACTAACACGCATCCGTTATTCCGATTCTTTGGGACCATCATGTACCCACGAATATGTTAAACAGTTTCATCTTATTACTTATTTAAGTCGTTTCAATCAAATTAGAGTGAAACAAAACAAAAAAATTTGTTGAATAGAAACACGCGGTTGAAAACACTACAAAAAATTAACAATTATTTATTATATGTACAACTGCGGACTCTCATAAGGCCCATGGTTAAATAATTAGGTAGGTATGATTATCGTAACTTTACTTCGGGTACGCAGGTGTCATGGCGGCCACTGACAGTCCATCACTTCATATTATTATTAGTTGACGAAACGATACGAAATTATTAATTCCATGGCTAAATAAATAATTGCCAGCTGAGATTCCTTTCCATGCTGAATCATGCGGTACACAGATATATAATATATCTCATAAAGTCATAACAATACATAACTAAATTGCTTCTCAATGCGATCATACGACTCGTCCGGAACATTTATTTGTAAATGATTATTATCCTTATTATTATGATTACTATCGTTCACGCCACTGTCCACAGGTACGTTTTGAAAACGGACGGCCGAGGTTGGGCGAAACCGATAGCGAGCGATCAGCGGTCCGGCGTGGACGTGTCGTCGGCAATGCGGCGGACAGCCGAACGGACGCCACGGCCGACGATTAGACTCAGTGACGGCGATGACGGGTCGGCGGGACGTTGCGGTGGCGTGGACGTGAGCCCGTACGGTTTGCTGCGGCCGTCGCCTCCGACGAAAACGGCGGCCGGCGCCGCGGACGTCGAAGACGTGTACGCTGACCGCGTACCATTCTTCGACAACGACACACGGCCACATTCGCTGGTAGTGCCGTGGCGCCAGGGACGGGCGGTCCTGTACGGAGTCCGGGATGCCGGTTGCCATCAAGCGCTGTTCGGACACCTAGCGACGGCCACTGCGGCCGACATGCGTCCCCGCAGGGCCAACCTGCGCCAGTGGCTGGACCAGGCTGTTCTGCCGCTCGTAACGACTCGGGCCACAGACCGCTGGTATCCGGCCCTGTGGGGCGTCACGCTCGTGGCCAGGCGTTTAGAAGAGGCGGACGTCAGCGGTCTGGGCGGTGGTCTTGTTGGGGGTCAGGACGGCGGTCGGAGCCACGATCGCGGCCACCACCAGTTGGACTGCGACTGGACGACCGAGGAGGGGCCTGGCCACAATTTTTATGCGGCCATCGTGCTAGCGAGCGCGTACGTCTGCTGGTTGTTGGCCCTGTACATACGCTAGCACGATGGCCGCATAAAAATTGTGGCCAGGCCCCTCCTCGGTCGTCCAGTCGCAGACACACTGGTTGTGCCGGAACAGTGTAAAAACATATTATTAATCATTACTGTAATATACCTATGCTATCGATATTTTATTTTTACGATTTATTACGGTACATTTAATTAATACGTACGTAGGTATATTATAACGATCAAATTATTTGTGATTAGTAATAATTATTAATTAAATTACCGAATAATTAAATGACCTCTCATACCAAAAATACTCACATATAGTACTGATACCAATTATTACCCGGAGTTGGGATTATTTCCCATGCGGTATTAGGATTTAGGACTATTACGGTACAGCATACGCGGTATGTATTTTGCCGAGGGTATAAAGCTTATGCGAATACTTTGTATTAGCTGTTATAAAGGCTGCCATAATTTCGGTTATAAGTGTAACGCAGCCCACGCTAGAAGAGAGAAAACGAACTGTTCGATAAAAGCGCTGTTTCTACCCCGTTTGTCCTTCCTTCTTGTTTTACGCCTCGGCACTATTTATTTACCCCACATCACCTTCTACAGGATATTCTTTTGAATCCCACTTCTAACCAAGGTACACACGCACGTAGTGAGTTTCTATACTTCCAATACGTTCAAAGCAGATAAAAATAAACAAAATCGGACACTTTCTCACTCGTTTTCTCTTTATCTTTCCTGTTTTTTTCCTATTTTTATCCTTGTTTCTTTGGATTTCCTCCAAAAAGGATTACATTTTTTTATCCGTGTACACGTTTTACCACCACCGAGGCAGCATCACTGTCACCACTACTACCACACGTACTTAGCATTCCCTACTTTAGAATCATTATGTAATGACGGAAAACACACATTTAGGATTATATGGTTATAAAATGCTTTTGAATATTTGTTTAATTCCATTTGTCAATCCCAAACGGGAAATATTTAATTATTGATCATTATAGGTGTTCACTGTTCAAATTTTAATTAGTTAATAAATAATAATTATTAAGCACTGTAATCATTTTTATATATTACGTAAACATTCAAAAAAATTATTGCTTAATGCTGACTCTTCTTATTCAAATCATTTAAAAAATAATTCAATACATTTGTATTGAATTACAGGCATGATGAATGATGACAAGTACCTTGTATTTTGCATACATTTAATAAATTATAATTGCATTTATATCTATTAAAAATAATTTTTTTGTTTCTTACGCCAACTGTTCAAAATTTAAATGGATGGCAAAATAAGTGACATTTAATTCGGAATAAGATGAAAAAATGTTTACCATAAAAAGGTAGATATTTTTACCATCTTGTGTTATCGTAAAAATGGTAATAAACTAAATACAATATAACCTATAGCCTATAGGATATATGGTTTACTGCTTAGACGTATCTTCATAGACCGTATAGGTAATAAACTAGATGGATTAAATTGTTTGTTTTATTTGTTTAACGGGATTCAAAATGAAGAAACGAAACCTTTTTATTTAAAAGAAGATTCCATATGTTTGGACCGGTATGGTCTTCATTTAAGAATAATTCATTAATTTTATTTGTATAGTACACATTTTATGTTCAAAATGAAGCGGTGATGTATTTCCTACCGATTGGCGATATGTGTGATTTTTCTATGAAATATTTTTTGGGATAGTAAAAGTGTTCCTTTAGCTTCAAATAGCTCTCGTATCGATTGGCAAGTAACCAGATAGTGGTAATTTAGGCCTTAGGGGGTGGCAAATTTATATTGATAAATTATTATTTTGTATTAATTATATAGAAAAAAATATATATTTACATAATTTTAATCATTAATTTAAATGTTTAACCTTCTATAAAATACAATTATTATAGCTCAAAAATAAAACTGTTTTCATCAATTTGTCGGAAAATATTAATAATATTATAAACAACATACTATCTATATATATAGACATATAGTAGGATTTTGAATGGAAGAAATTAGAATACAGAATACAAGAAATTGTATAAGGCTGATAAAATTTCTCAATAGAAAATAATCAAGGTTTCAGGGTAAATTACTATGTTTTCTAATTCTAGTCAATTTTATTTTTGAATTTGTGTGTCGATAGATTGATACAGCAAATCGTCGAGTTCAAATGCCTTAAATAAAAAAAAAATATAACCTAAATAATATTATGATAGTAAAATTAGTAATTGTCAAGTTTAATCTTCGTCTTAAAAAGCTTATATGGTACCCAATTCATCATGGTCAGACAAGTGTATAGGTTGATGCACTCACTACTCAGTGATATTAATATTTTTTTTTTATTTTTTTATTCGTATTCCTAAATAAATTTCATATTTTTGCTCAAGCCATACGATAAAAATAACATGATAAAAATGTATTTCATTCGAAGAATAAAAGTGTTTGCACGTAATAAAAAAAAAGTTTACAATGATACATTACTTACAAGAAGTGCGCATTTTGCATCACTAAAACAAAAATCAAAAACAGTTCATAGTGCTATACTGAAAAATGAAAGCATGTACCTTCACACCCCGTGGCGTTAATAAATCAAAGAATACCCACAATAAATTATCATCATAGAATTCTGTCGAACCCTCCGGCTGTAATAGAGGTAGAAGCCAGGATACGTGGAGTGTTGTTTATTGCGCAGGGTAATATTTTTATATTGTAACATTATAATAGGAACTGAAATGTTTAATATAAGTTTTTAATTGCTTTCAATGCTCTATTTAATGTAAGCTCAAATATGATACAATAGGTTCTTTCATTGTGACATTTAACTTTTAACTTTATAAAACAAAAATTAACATTACTTTCAGGCAATGGCATGAAGGATTCAACAGAATTGTATGATAGTAAATTTTATCCCGGGTATTCGTTGATTTACTAACGTCACCGTGTGCGAAGTCTCTTTCTTGTTCATTTTTTTCATCGCCCGGACGCCCGATGTTTGGTTACAGCAGCAGCTGCACATTGTTGTTAATTTGAATGTATTCAAAATTTAAAAAAAAATGTACATCTATAATATGTATTTGATAAATATGTAATTAAAAATAAAAGATATGTAAAAAAAATGTTTTTATTCTTGAAAAAAAAATTAGAAAATGAGTATATTAAATATGTAGGTAAATATAAATTATACAACACTACATTTCATTACTATTTTATTAACATTAATAATTAGGACTACATACAAATTCGTACCCTAGTTATTATTTTAATTTTTAGGTATACCGCGGACTAAGAATAGTACTTTGTACGTACAGTTCCGGCAACCTCACTTTTAGTGATAACAGACTAGGGTCGAAAAAAAAGCCGACATTAATTGATAACGACACTATTTTCACGATTTTGTGTGTAATTTCATATTTTTGTCAATATTGTTATTTGTTATTATTATTTACCTTGGGGCTGGGGCGACGGTCACGAGGCGGAATCGAGACTGTACGTGTAAGGTACCTATCTAGGTATCAAGTCATTAATATAAACTTATCGCGATCCGAATTGCTAATATTATGCTGATTAAAAATTAAAATATCGCCAGAAGACAACGAACCAATAATATTATGTCGACTTCTGTAAAATGTCAATGCGCCTTTGAACATGACCGAATATGTTCGTATGCATTGCTATGACTTGATATACTGTGAGTACCTAATACCTACTAAATCAATTTTAATCAGTCTACTTATCGAACAATGGCCAAGAAAAACGTTCGAAACGTTATTAAAAAATTGGAATCGTCCAGTGTGTTGATCAATACTTCGAATCCATCGGAATACAAAGCTCCAAGTGCTTTCGTTCAAACAGAAGCAAACAAGGATCCAGAACTCATACCGCACTGCTTCAGCTCATTTTGCTATTTGGGCCTGTTTGTGTGGCTCTTATTGGATAGAAACTACAATTTATTAATCGATCGCAACTCAATGATCATTATTGTTACATGTTACACAATTGAATTCGCTAAATTTGCCTGCCATTCTTATCTAGTCAGTAGAATAACAAATCAAATAAAGCCAAAAGTCAATCCTATATTATGGATACTTCAGTTTATAGTTTCCACTGTGCTAGCAGTGGGTGTATCATATTTATTTTCAATTCTCTTTGGCGCACCATTGACTACTAAACAAGAACAAACTTTTGTATTTTCTGTACTAGCAACAGCACTCATAATTACGCCCACTGCCATTCAGTTAGGATCAAATATATTGCCATTACTATTAACTGATTGTTTTGAAACGGAATTCGATAGTACTGTTGAAGTATTTGAAAAGAACAATTTTCGAGCAACAATTTTAGGAGGGTTCATTGGTGCAGCAGTAATACCATTCGATTGGGAAACTGAGTGGCAACGATGGCCAATTCCATGTTCAGTTGGATTAATAGCTGGACATTTATTAGCTAATGTTTATGAAATAATATGTTGGCAGTTTAAAACATTGAAAAAATATTCTGTTAAAAAAAATAAATTTTGATTGTAGTTGAAGTTTAATATTTTTTTTATTCAAATTAGATATGTATGACCAACATTTGTACTTTTACATAATAAAAATAAATAGATATCCTACAATGTTGCTTAAAGTTGTACAAATAGTTGATATTAAAAACAAAATAGTTACAAAAGTTTTAATTTTAGAAATGTAAAACTATTCTACTTAACACATTCGTATATACTTGTCCGTGCTGAAAATATTTCTTAAAAATAATTATATTTTGATGTACGACTTGCTAGTACATAGGAAATAATAATTATAGAAGACACTGACCAAAACTAAATAGTTTAATTGTAATGTTGACTAAGTTATAGTGCATTGATTAGCAAGGTACAAGACTCCAATTGGCAGAATTTAGCATATTATATGAATGATGCTCAATGACATCAATTGGCATTTTATGCAATGACCGTGTTATTTATAAAAAATATGAGAACTGGTTTCATCTTCATTATTTTATATGTCATACCATAAATCATTTTTTATTTTACTTTGAATTGTTGTCAATACTCATTTCAAATCATACAGATTTGTAATAATAATTTTGTACAATTTTAAACTTACTGTGGTAACTTTTTTTTTTATGTATAACTGCAAAACAACTAAAGAAAATTTTTATTGTAAAATATAAGTACCCAGTAAGTATTTATGGTAACTTTTGAACACCAATCAACGCAAACCAATAAGTTATTAAGAATACTTTTGAAACGGCATATTTAATATCCTCGCAGCTAATGTACTTTATATAAACTATTATATGTTTTCATAAATAATTAACAAGTTCAATAGGTATGATAGTAGTGTAATGTTAAATGTGTAGTCTTAACTTGTAGCATTATAATAAGTATATTTTTTGTTCCTTGGTTTTTACTTAAAAAAAATATAAAATGATTTGTGAATCATTTGTAAAGATAATGAATTATTTGTTTTGTAATTATAATAATATGGTTTATTTGAATACACATTTTATATTATTTACTATTACTTTATTTTGTAGGTAGTTGAATTTCGTACTAAAACTCAAGAACTGTACGAATACTGGAAAAAAAAATTTAATTAATTTTATAGAAAACTCAATTAATATTATTAAGTATTGATTCTTAAATAATAACTACCTTTTTCCTGAGTGCAGTAATTCAAATCCTTCATTGATAGATTCAAATGGGAGCTTATGGCTTACAAACTCATCCAACATGAGATTTTTATCCAAGTATTTTAAAACTAATTCAGGAATACTCTCTTTACTTTTCCATCCTTGAAACAAAATTGTTTAATAATATTAGCATTGATTTTATAAAAAACAGATAGCCTATTGTATATCTGGAAGAGTAAAAACAATTAAGATACCCCCAAATGCAGTTCCTTTCCATGTACGTCCAGTGACAAGCTGAAAAGGTCTAGTGGAAATTTCTTGACCAGCGGCAGCCACTCCAATAATTACTGATACACCCCAACCTTTATGACAAGCTTCTAATGCAGCTCTCTGCAAAAACAAATAAAATCACATTGTTTTATGAAAAATACAATATATATTTGTATTTTACTTGCCATTGTTTTAACATTTCCGATACATTCAAATGTATAGTCGAGACCACCATCAGTCATCTCAATCAGAACTTCTTGAATAGGTTTTTCGTACTTTAATGGATTTACAAAATCAGTAGCACCAAATAATTTAGCTAAAAAATTAAAAAAATTATAATATTAATAATGATATTTTGGGGCTTTTCGCTTTTATCTAATGAAAAGATATGACGTAAACCTAATTCAAATTTGCTTTCATTTAAATCCACGCCAATGATTTTCTTTGCCCCGGCGGCTTTACAACCCATAATTACTGCCAATCCTATTGCCCCTAATCCAAAAATGGCACACGTTGATTCTGGTTCGACTTGTGCGGTGTTTAAAGCTGCTCCAAATCCAGTTGAAACACCACATCCCAAAAGACAAATTTTGTCAAAAGATGCAGTAGAATCTACCTGGATAAAATAATAATAGTTATTGACGATTAATTAACATTATTTTCATAAGAAAAAAAAAAAAAAATGATAATTTCATAAAATTGAAAGTCTTTTTCAAGCTAATAATATAATTTTACTAAGTAGTTACTTATTTAGTCTTTTTAATTTCATAATTTCTACTTTTATTTATCATTTGTTTTAAAATAATCAACTATTAAAATAAAAAAATTAATTTATAAATATTGTTATTTCATAATAATACCATGTAATGTATATTGTACAATATACATTCAATGGCACTAATACTTAAGAGGACCTATTACCAAATTTAGAAGTAAGAAATACAAATATTGTCTAGTTGATGACATAGGTTTTTTTAATATTTTATTTTAATGCTAGTTATGAGCATTTTAAAATTGTGAATTGTTCGTACATTTTAAAATGCTCATAACTGAAATATAATATGATAGAATTGAAAAAACCGAAGTGTTCGACTATATAATACTTTTACTTCTAAATTTGGTAATAACTTATAGATCAATTCACTTAATAATTCAATTTAACAGAGTTAAATGGATTATTCAGACCATACAATTTGTTATGTTATGCATTTGTAACACAGACGGTATGGCATCTTATTCATTTAGATCAATGGTTTTTAACCAATGTTCCGCGGATCTTACTTAGGGGTTCTTCAAAAGTGCTTTATCTACATCATCTATACTTGTTTAAAGATAATTTTCATAGAGGTTCCGCATAAAAACAATATATTTGTTTTGTGTTCCGTGATATCAAAAAGGTTAAGAAACACTGATTTAGATAATATCAACTACAGTATAATTATTACATTATGTCACTATAATGATATAATAATAATGTTACCTTGCATAATGAAATATCTGCTACCACAGTGTATTCGCTAAAAGTTGAGCATCCCATGAAGTGGTACAGGGATTGTCCTTTGCAAGTAAACCGAGAAGTATTGTCGGGCATTTTACCTTGACCCTGAGTAACTCTAATTTTACTACATACATTTGTTTTTGGAGACAAGCAAAATTTACAATCTCCGCACTGTGGAATGTACAAAGGAATAACATGATCCCCTGAAACATTATTTTTAGCATATTTACACCCATGAAAGTGTTTTAAAGTATATAATATCAACCTGGTTGGAATTCTATGACATTTGGACCAACACTTTCAACAATTCCTGCTCCTTCGTGACCCAAAATACAAGGGAAGTTTCCTTCTGGATCATGACCATCCATGGTATAAGCGTCGGTATGACATATGGCTGTGGCAAGAATTTTTACTCTAACCTCATTTTCCTTTGGAGGGGCTACTTCAATATCTTCAAGAGTTAATGGTTTCTTTGCCTCCCAAGCAACAGCTGCCTTACATTTAATTACCTTAAAAATTAAATCATAACTTATTAATATTGTTTATATTACTATGAAATTGTACTCAATTGATTTTGCACCTTTCCAATAGTATCTGCCATAGTGTATGAATTATGTCTGGAGTAGCACTGAGTAATTGGGCACTAATTGAAGGGTTGTGTCAATTTATATAACTAAGAAAAAATTGTTATACTGACATATAGAGACAAGGCCACAAGTTTTTGAGTTATATAAAGCAGAATACTATAAGCTTACATCAGCCATCAATTATTTAACTCTTATCAAAATTAACAATCAACAGGCCAGTGCTTGTTATAAATGTATATCAGTGCATGGTACCAAAAGAATAATTTTTCAAGTATGTTAAATTACCTCTTAACAAATACTGAACAAAAACTATTGTTATATTATCCTTGTAAAAACTTATATCTATTTAATGGTTTTCAATGAATAATTATTTTAAACATAAATATATTATTGACATTTGCTTTACAATGTTTTATGTATTTTTAAACGAACTGACAAGTGTCTATAGGTGTAATAATATGTACTTTACGAAAAATACGATTATAAAATATAACATTGATCTATATGACAGTTGGTAATAGGTTAGACCCTTCTCTCGGAACTTTGCTGCTCATTACGTTCACTTTCCAAAACCACCTCGGCAATTGGGACTACTTTCGATCGGTTCGTCTTTCCATTGGGTCGGAGCTTTGGCCACAATAGACAAAGCGTGTACGCCGGACTTGAGCTCATCCGTTAGTATCGCGTTTACAAGACGGTGTCTCTGTAACAGCACATTTTGGTTATTTGATCAAGTTCTGTCGCTATACATTGTCACACAACTCCCAGACCTATACCTTAATCAAGGGCATGCCTTCGAATTCGTCGGATACAATAACGACTTTGAAATGCGTCTCCGAGTCTTTAGGTACATTATGCATGTGCGACTCGTTGATGAGTTGCAACACTTTTGGATTGAATCGGTTTTGCAATTTCGTTCGTATACAACTTTCCACGCACTTGGACGCCGTCGACATCATGTTGCCAAACTCGGGCCTAGTGATTAGGAAATTATATTTAGAAGAATGTCTTTCTTTAAATTTCGTTTATTAAGCCGTCCAATATTATTCCGAAATCATGGGTAAAGTTCCTTAAAATACTAAAATTTAAAAATTCGTTTCGTAACTCGGCGAAGAGTGAAGACGTGAATCGTGATAAACGATGATAAAGTGTAAATATTTACAGGTTAGACACTGGAACAAGTCAACAGTGTTATCACCATTAAACACTATCTTAAACTATTTATGTGGTCATCCTGAATGGTTGAATAACATAACCTCGAATAATTAGAGCGCAATAAAGTGGTTACACTATTATTATTATTATTATTATGAAAACTCTTTATCAGAAACAATGAAACTTCAAATGCTCGAACCATAACATTACATGAATTGTAATGTGTACAACTGTGTAGTCTGGTATTCTAGTTGCGGGTATAGTTACGTTTGTTATAATTAATATTGAAATATGTATTGTTTTGATTTACCATTCACATAGAATTGTATCTATATTCAATCGATAATAATTATGCACAATTTATGATTCGTTTTCAACCGTAAAATGGACGCAGATTTCGTTCAGCCACACAGAGCGACTTGTTATTTTTTACCGTTATAGCTTTATTGTAGTGTAAAATCACCTTCACTTTTTTTGAGTTTAAAAACAATGGAAAATGGACTCAGATTTGTTTGATGACGACAGTGATTGTTCTAGTGAAGTATCAGAAACGCGATCAGAACTCGAATCTCGAATCTATGGCATTATCCACCATAACGATTTTTCAGGGACTTCGGAGTCACCATTCATCGATCCAAAGTATGGTGTAGAATTCAATAACAATGGTGAAATAGTTGTGTTTCTCAAAGATCCAGCCGATATAGTTATCAACCCCACCGTTAATCTATCCGAGGTGTGTACAAATAGTGTTATACCAACACTTGTTTTAGATGATGACGATATTGAAACTTCCAAAGGTATCACTAGTATAATTGTTGATAACGAATTTTCTGAAACAAGCTTGAAAAAAAAGAAGAAGAAAAAAAAGAAAAAAAATGTAAATAATGAAAGTATTGAGGAGTACATTAATATTATTAAGAATACTGATGCGTTAAAAGAATATAAAGAGAAAAGTGGGTTAAATAAAATGAATACCAAAACTAGTAATGTTCATAAAGTTTCCCTAAATGTATCCTTGAATAATGAACGAGCAATGCCAATGACAGCAAGTGAAATTTTGAAACAATATCGTATTGGAAAACGAACTGAATGTAGTTTGTGGTATAGGTGCCCAAAGACATGGACTCCAGATATGGTAAAATTTTATACTAAAATTCAAAAGTCAAAACGAAATTATGACTGTAGAGAAGAACTAAACAAAATTAAAGGTAAATTCTAATGTTTTTATTTAAACTTATTATAAACTAATATTTTAATTAATAACCAATATTTTTTATACTTTACAAATATAGAAAAATATGGTTCAAATCCAATTGATTGGTCTTTGGATCCCTTGGATGTGTATAAATCTAATTCAAATACACCTAGAATGAGATGTAATATTTGTAGACAATTCGGTCATACTGGGTATAATTGCAAGGATCAATATAAACCTCCGATTTGTATTATGTGTGGAGTGGAAGGACATCATTTTCATAGTTGTAATAAAAAAATATGTTTGTCGGTAAGTTTTATTTGATTCTAATAAATAATTTTTACTATAACATTTACTATAGGTAGGTACTTAGCAAAATTGTATTGAAAGATTAATTGATTTTATTGATATCTATTTAATAATTATCATGCAAAAATGTATTAAATCTGTAAAAAGGTCTTTCCACATTTTATTATTTGTTAATACCTACAAGTAGTTTTACTGTTATAAATTATAACATGTTATCTTATATTACCTATGGACATTGAACATTGTCATTTTTATTTTCCATTTTTACCATTCAGTGCTCATAATCTTATGTCCTTAACCTACATGACTAGAACAGACATGGTAAATTATGCTTTTTAGCATCTCAATTTTATTTATATTATCTAGTATTTGAATCTAGTCATAATTAGTGTGCTTAAGTACCTATATAATTTTAATTTATCTATTAATTAAATTATTATATATTTTTTAGTGCGGAACTTGGCAAAAAAATTTTACCAATAATTGTAGTATCTGTTTATCAATGATCAGAGTCAAATGTAATATTTGTAATGATGTCGGTCATGAATCAAGTTATTGCACAGAAACTTGGCGTCAATTTCATAGTACTGTAAGTATTTACAGTTTATACAATAAAAATAATTACATTTTGGAGTGTTATACCCTTCAGATCATACTATGGATAGAGCCATGCCCATTTCGGTCGTGTAAATAATTTGAAGCACATTTAAGTGACGAGTCTCTGATTGAGATGTCTCATGTTCATATGCGTTATGCAGACCTTTGCATATTTAGCTGTTGGTTTATATTTATATATATATCAATTCATATGGATAAATATGCTTACATTTCTCTTATCACATGCTCACATCATGGATCTCAATCAGAAAATTGTTGCTAATACACTAAAACTTCCATTGAACGAAACTTTCTATTTAACGAATCTTTTTTAAGAACCATGACCTTCATTGTTAAATACACTTACATTTATCTCCAAATAACGAATCTGATGTTTCTATATACCAAAATAATTATTCGATAAAAACTGGTTTTTGTAAATGTTGTCACTATCAAATTTTCAACATAGTTCTTAAATTGTACATGAACAATGAATCCGATAAAGATAAGACACCAAAGGTAGGCAAACTGTTTAATTTTATTGCAGTATTTTAAAACTTTATGATATAGAAACTTTTTATGAAAAAAGTACAATTTATAAAAACAATAAGGAAACAAAACTCACTAATTATTTCTTTTGAATTATAAAATTAAAAAACTGAATTAAACTGTAATATTATATTTGATGTTGTTTCTTACATAACATATACAACATAGAAGTAAACACATACATACAATAACATTTTTTTAAAAAAGTTGAAAAAAATACGTAATTCTATTTAACGAATTTCTCCATATTATAAATTTGTTTTGCTGCTTATTCAACTTCGTTATATAGAAGTTTCACTGTATTATATGCCTCAGGTTATCAGGACATGGTTCCAACCATTGTATGTTATACTATATCATACTTTAATCTACAAACATAAAATATAAATTGTTTTTACAATGTTAATTTTTGTTTTAAAGACTAAACTCATTGTACCTAGTTATCAAACTTTTATTTGGTTATGTTTCAGATTTCTACTGCACCAGAACCTGAAAGTAACAAATTTGCTCAATCTACTTCTAGATCAAATACTTCAAATATTGAGTCAAGGCAATCTACTACAAGAAAGTCTGAATCTTCATTGACATTAACTCCCAATGTCAAAGAGATAAGTAAAAATAGCCCGAAATCTGTTGATTCTGGCAAATCTAAAAAAGCAAAACGGTTGCAAGCTAAGGCAAAAAAACATTTGAAAAACAAAAATAAAAGTAATCTCACAATTTCTGATAATGAATCCATAAATATTGATGTTAATATACAAGATGTTACATTGCAACGCACTCTAACAAAAAGAAATTTTTTCAAGAAAAAAAAATTAAGTGTTAACAATTAAATACAAAAATTTGAGAAATGACTATTTACTTAAAAATAATAGATTAGATTTTTGATGTGCTTACATATGACGCATATTGATTTTTTATTTTGTGATACTCTTAAGTATCTGTTGTTTTAGTATAATATTATTTTAAGTCTAATATTATCTAGCATAGATAGATTAATTACATATTTTATAGTGTCGTCTTTAGTAGATTTGGATGACGCCACAGTATTAAATACTAATTGTAATGTCCGTTATTCAAGTCTCTGATGTCCCAAATTGTAGTATTGTATAATATGATATAATTCTTTGGTTACAATTTTTGGTGGCAAAGGTTTTTAATGTACTTTAGTAAATTTAAATATTACTTTATGATTTTAATTTATCAATGTATTACCTATATTACATTTCCATCATTGCTCATTTCAAAATAGTTTGGACTTCTGATAAAAATATCTATTTATTTAGTTACTCTTAAGGTCTTCATAAATATTTAGCACTCAGTTTGAATAAGACAATGGATGGAATCTGATATTGATAATATTCAATTGCTAAAATATTATTGGTCCTACAATGGTATATTAATTTGTAAATCTTGTTTATCTACTTTAATTTTCATGCCAATCTTGTAACATAACATAACATATAACTGTATTTGAAAAGTTTTTTTTTTAAACAAATCATAGACAAATTCAAATAATTCATTTTTTTGACTATCCAAGAAAAATTTTTTAAGTAAGTTGTGGTTTATTATGTATAATGGATTCAATTATAAATATATAAATGTAATGAAATTATTTTATTATGTATTCCATTGATTTCTAATTTTTTTGTCTATTATATTATAATATATTATGGTTATGATACCTATTTTCACATTATATAAAAAAAATCATTTTTTTTTTTTTTGAGCGGGGCTTTATAATAAGTTTGTTATATATTTTTTCTTCATATTATGAAGTTATTGAAGGAAAACAATATTATTTAAAGATTAAATACAGACAAATTTAATATAGTTAACAAAACAAATTATATTTTATTTATTTCATAATAAATATTAAAGAAGAATGTATTTACAGAATATATTATTAAAAATAACAAAAACATTTGTACATAACATTATTATAATCATAGTTCTAATATTCCATCCTGGTCCAATTCCGATAGATTGTCGGCGGACAACGATACATGAATAGAGTCTCCGAGCAAATCGGTTATGTCGTCGTACCTAGACAAATTAAATGGTAATAAAGTTATAAATTATAATTAAATATAAGATATTAATGTGTATGTATATCATACATATTTATTTTTTAAATAAAGGGATATGGATAATTTATACCCCCTCCTCTCAATATTTTCCTTTCGTGACTGGCAAATCTATTAATAGTGTGTTCAAAACTTCATACCAACTCTTGATTTTATAACTTATTTCGAGCATGTTATCTCTTTGTACTTTGTTCCTTTTTACGCCAAAGGAGTTAAATCTATTTCGCCACCCAAAGATGTTAAGATTATTGAGAGTGTATAATTAATTTTGTATCAAACAGTGGTTACCTTAATCCAATGTATGGGCATTGCACACCGTAATATATTATATATTTCGTGTTTAACTTACACCCATTTATTTATTATTGTATTCTAGTATATATACCTGATTAGTTTTAATTTAATTATTATTGGAATTCTTTGTTTTTAATTAGGTACCATTGTAATAGTTTAATACTAATAGCTATATAAATAACAAAATAAGTGATGTCATAATTATTATTAACATTGTGGAGTTGTAATGACGAAAAAAATTGAATAAATAAATAGCATTGGGGGTATGATAATCTTAGTTCTTTTCTTGAAGTCACATATTATATTGTGCTAGAATATTTATAAAAAAAAAATGGTCCTGTGCCATACTATACTTACATATTTGGACTTTGTTTCAAATAAGTGTGGTAGGCACCCACCTTTCCTCAAATGTTTAATTTACAAACTCCACAAGAACTATTTTTTTTTACTACAGGTACACTGACTTATCGTTTCTTTAAAATTATCAACCACAGAATATCGTATTAATATTTCAGGTATTTGATGTCGAGGCCCTTTTGTAGTGATTGCAAAGATATTTAAGCTGAGATTTAATCAGACAGATTACTCATACTCATACATAATTCATTTTCTCGCGTACCTCTACTTTAGATACTATACTTAGTACTTACATCTATAGTTTAAAATTGATGAATATATATTCACTAAATTTGACAATACTAATAATTAATGCAATATTTGTTATAATAAAATATTATATAACTGAAAAAAGTATTAAATGAAAATAAATCATACTCTGTGACTATAAATTAAATTGTGGTCCTTGATTAATTTTGTTTAGCTTTACTTTTGTTAACTATAAAATACTGATATTCTGTATCAGCGATATACAAAGTTTTATATAGGTGGGTGGTACAACACCAGGACCCCTCCCCCACCCTGAATACCCTTAAAGGGGATAACTAAAGATATTGAAATTTTAATTTGACAAATAATGTATTATAATACAATGTATATGATATTTATACAAAGATGTATAAATGACAATGAAGTATAGTAATAAATAAATAACAATTTTTTAATAGGTGTAAATAATATCTATAAAATGTTAGAATTAAAAAAATTGTTGACCCCCTCATCCCCAAAACAAAAAAAATTTATAGTTTTCAATTATCAGGGTAGAGTATGTTTAGCCAACACTGACTTTTTATTATATTATACCTACTCACTTCACACGGCATTCGCGGCGGCAGGATACTGACTTTTTGCCTTGGGATAGAACCAGAGTTCTATAGTTGTCCATCCACTTATATATCTTTTAAAACTGTTTTCGCGCCTAAACTCGAGGGAAATGTCCTTTTATAATGGATATATGATACGTCGACAGTACCATATATATATATATATATATATATATAGGTAGTGCAGTATTATAATAATATAAACTAGAATAAAGTTTTTCATATTTTGCCGAGCTCGGTAGCTGAAATAGTCCCAGATAGAAATGAGGGGGGGGGGTGGAGAAATCCCCCCAAATAAAAACCATTATTGTGTACACAGTGCACACAGACACACACACACACATGACCGTGTCCCATATGGTATGGGTACGTTCTGTATGTTATTTTCCACGTCACTATTTCCGTTTTACTTACTGGTCGTACGACGTGGACGCTTGTCCTTTGGGCACAATAACAAAGTCCGAACGTTTGTGTACGAAGTCTTTGAACGTGATGACTACGTACAAAAATGATAGCCACAGCAGCAGGGCACCTGTATGAGCGTCACACAAATCGTATACATTTATTAGAATTGATTTCAAACAATGAACACACGCGTTTCGCCTGTGTCCCCGTCAATAGGTATTATGGGTAAGTTTTCTTTTCTAACTTTTTTTCGTCGGTTTGTAGGGTTTATTTTCTCTACTGCGCGCGAGAGTCGAACAAAGCTAGACTAGATTTTTCGAAACGAGTTTAAATTAAAATTAAAAATTGTAAAAAATAAAAACCACTACCGTATAGTGGATCGAAAAAAATGCGTTTCGAGGTTTAAAAAGTGGGGGGAAAACTCTGTTCAGTCGTCGACGGGGACACGAGGGGCGAGCACACCTGTGCATTATAGTAATAATTCCACAATATATTATCAGTTTTTATTCAATATGCCTAGGCGTAGATACGCTGTAGAAAGTTGCACTGTAATCCGTGGCCTATTTAGGGGGGGGAGGGGGCTTGAGGCCAGGGCGACACTTGTCTTTTTTTACATAACATGCTAAGCTATTTGTGTCGCCTGATTTTGCACGGGAAAAAAATGAACTATTACAGATGATGGCGACCTACGGCGCCCGGTGAGACATATTAATTTGTTTTAAGTGGGTTCACGGACGTACGTCGGGTCGGACAAATCCGACTGAGATGGCCATTCCGCCTGCGGAGGATTGGCGTGTTTCGGCTTAAGTAATGTTTACAACAACTCTATGAGCAATTCGGTTTAGGTTGTTCTCCCGCCAGCGAGGACCGAAAATCAACAACCAAAATATTATGCAAACAACACTGTCAAGACGACGACTAAGAGACGTCGAGCGAGAGTGGTTCCGTAGGAGTTTTTTTTTTTTATAAAACCGGGAAGATAGTGCCACGGTGTTATCCTACTTCATCTCGATTTTCCGGAGTCAGCTGGAGTTGCGTGCATGAGACTATGCCTAAAATAGGTAAGTACGCGCCTAGTGCAGTGCTCGATAAATTAAAAAAAAAAAAATCGTCCGACTGGGGACAAATGATCCCGGGACAAACCGTGAAAAAAAAACAGGTGAGTTCTAATTTAAACTCGAGAGCAATAAATGAAATAATGACATTCTTAAAAGGGAACTTTATTGTCCGTGACTACTAAATTAATTAATAATAAGTAATTGTTTTTTTTCTTCCGTGTAACCAATGGTTACCGGAAATCCACAAAATAAAATATCCAATTTTTGTATTTGAAGCGCAAAATTCATACGCCTCTATAGTTCTAGTGCTTTCTAATTAGGTAGGTATTACAAATAGTACTTGCTAAGATGCATGCCTAATATTAGTTGCCTCTCAAAATCAAAAGGTCAGTAATTTTTATCCGATTGTTGCCTCCCGAGTGCCCACGTTTTCAACATTTTATCGTAAACGAAAATTGTGTAGTACACCTGTAGGTATACTGTACAGTTGCCTCCCGACTTGTAGGTAATACACGTAAAAGTGGTTCCCAAACGATTCAAAATTTTTACACAACATAAAATTATATACAGGGTGATCCGACAAGTATGCCACTCCCTTTTTTTCTTTAACGATGAAGTTTTTCAACATCTGATTTTTGGAATCTTTAAATACACTCAAAGACCATATTTTCATATTCTTGAGATTTTTTGTGTCACTTTATAGGAGTGTCCCGTGGCGATACAAACTTTTGTATTTCAAATGGGAACCCCGATTTTTTACTGTTAATTATTTGGTGGATAATTTTTTTGAGAATTTTGATGTATTGAAATCAAAATTCAAACGATTAGGTAGTTTTCTAGTTATTACACATTTTGTGCTAGGGATAATATAGTTTATAATAGCGAAGAAGGATATGCTTACACAGTATACGTTGTTGTCTTAGTCTATTAGTCTATACACATAATATAATATAATACATAATTTTATATTTATTTAGTCAAACACTTAGGTAAATAGCAAGTAAAATCCTTCTTGATTTATTTAGTTATTTTTCTCATTCCATGTGTAGAACTGTATAAGCATATCCCTATTATGGACTATTATCACTAGTGCAAATTGTCCAATAACTAGGAAACCACTTGTTCGAATTTTGATTTCGATACATCGAAATTCTCAAAAAAAGCATCCGCTAAATAATTTAAAGAAAAAAAGTGTAGTTCTCATTTGAAAAATGAAGGTTCATATTGCCACAGGACACTCCTAAAAGTGGCAAAAAAATCTCAAGAATATGAAAATATGGTCTTTGAGTATAAATTTAAAGTATATTTTAAGATTGTTAGTAAACTTTTTTTTATTGAATAATTAAACATATTATTTCTAATTGTTGTGTATTATTAGTTATTTACATGTATAATGTATATAATATATTATATAGAAAACCGATATTTTTTAATTGTACTATAGGTATTTTTTTTGAAACAATACTGAGTAGTTATTATTAAGTTAATGATAATTTTTAGTTTAGTTAAGTTAAGTTGATAGAAAACATTTTAAAAAGTTTAAAGTCAATAGCAATATAATTTTTTTTTAGACTCAATCTTAAGTTAAAAGTTATATGGAAACTTACGATATTAACTTACTAAGTTTACTGTTTAGTTAATAAGTTAATATTATTTTATTTTAAGTACAGGTATATATATAGCCGGTACCTAATATGATTTTATAATAACAAAAAGTAAATGTTTATGAAATATGCATAATCAATATAATATAGGTAATAATATTTTATTATATTTATAATTCAATATTTTATAAATAATTAACTTAACTTGGATATGACTAAGAGTAACTGATTATTTGTTCATGAATATTAAATTTTAAAAAGTTAAAATTAAGTTAACTTTAACTTTTTAACTAGTTTATGCCCAGGCTCGACTACAAGGCAACTTATAGTTTATTACTATTATTATGTAACTTTATCTATTTTAATATCACGTGTTACTGAAAGTTTAAATAGCACAATACAGTAGACTCCGCTTATAGTACTCACATTGGGACCAGCACAAAGTGAGTCTTATAACTGAATGAATCTTATAGGCGAAGTGGGAAAAAAAATTAATTACATATTTATGAATTTTATTTTACTACATATTTGTCTTTAATTTTAATACTCAAATACATATTACATATTATGACATACGTATTATTGAATAAATTAAAAAAAATTCTGATAGAAAAATTAAAATTACAATACATGTAAAAAATGATCATATGCATTAATAAAAAATTATAAAAGATGTATGTATAATTGTATAACGTACCTATTTATTATTTATGAACGAAAATTGTGATTTTGTTTTTTTTTTTAGTTATAAACTAATATTCCGGAAATATATTGGAATATGTGAAAGACTATACAATTTTTTGTACATACACACATAATAAAGCAAAAAACATTAATTTATTTCTAAATTTTGACCAAAAATGTTTATTTTTGACCATTTTTTTTTTTACAAAATTTGAGTCTTACAAACGAATTGTTGAGCCTTATAACCGAATTTTTTATAACGTATTTGGATACGTCCGGACCGTTTCAGACAGTTTTTAGTCTAATAAGCGACTGAACCTTATATCCGTGAGTCTTATATAAGCGGCGTCCACTGTATATTGTTTATTCATAAGTTTATCTGTTGACGTGATATATTTTAGTGAAGTTTATGAACCACTTCTTGATTGTACATGTGAGGCAAATAGTGCGTGTACATTTTTAGGAAGCAACTCGTTTATAATATTATAGTTATGAATTACTTGATCATCGATGGCAACCATATTACAGTATGCACCGACGTTAGACTGTAGAGCGTGGGCCTCTCTATAGGAGGTTTAATTTCGAGATCAAAGAAACCTAAAACACTCTCCCGGGCCGCAATGAATCTATTGATGTACATTTTATTGGCACAGTGTAGGTATCTATAGCTAGTTTAGACAATTTTTGCTAATAAAACTCAATTACACATTTATACCGTTACATCGTATTGGTCAATTAATATAAAATACAATAGGTGTAACTAGCATTAACCTTTATTTCGAAAAGAGCAAATTTTATAATCACTATAATATGGGAATGCCTACATATTTCAACATTAAATTATTTATTATTAATCTCTCTGAGTTGCATAATATATTGATTGCCATAATATTATTCGCTTGTTGAAATTTAATTAATAATTCATTTTTTTTTCTTTGTTAAATTGTTTTTCCCAATATTAAATTAAAATAATAAGTATTGTAGGTATACTTTCAGTGGTATTAACTAGATTGAGTTTTTTATTTTAAAACTTAAAACTTTATAGGTAGATGATTATTATTATTTTTTTGGTGTGGGAGGGGGTGGGGGGGGGGTGGTAGGGCAGTGGAACGAAAAAAAGCCAAATACATCTCTGATTATAAAATACAATACGTATCTACAATTTACGATAATATGTATATCGGCGAGAGCCGGACGTATCATAATACCTACTATCATCCTAATATATAATATTCATGTAGATAAGAAGTACCTGCGATGTTAGAAAGCCACAGTCCGTGCGGCCATAAGAAGAACACCATCGAGAAAACTGTGTACAGCAGTGATTTTTTCCAAAGTCTCAACCACAGCACTATTTCCCAAAAGTTGAATATCGGACTGAATTCGTTTCTATAACATAAACGTAAAAAAGTATGGTCATAACATATTGCATTTAAATATATATTATATGACGTTTATTTATTTATACAAAATATAGGCAGGACGGTACATAATATTATAGGTACCTTTTATATAGGTATAGGAAGTCGCCTAACCAGGCGTTATTTTAATTTTATATTTAAATATAGCTTGGAAGGGGGAGGGCTATTTACACTCTATACTCTCCATTGTATAGTCATCAATTTTCATAATATTAATATTATCAAATATGGCGACATACGAGTAGACATTTCGTAGAAATCTAAAGCACTCAGTAAATATATATTTTTTGCATAAATACGGCCCAAGTGGGGGGGGGGAGGAGGAGGGAGTATTCCAACATAAAAAACACCCCTCCCCGGGTTAAGCCACTGTGGGTCGGTATGTATAATGTTATGTGCGTTGACGCCACTAGGGAGCGATTAGCGCCAAGGTCGGATTTGGACATTTTGCGCCCGAGGCGTATTATATTAATAGGTACCTACCCAATATATTATTCCCGCCTTTAAAATATAAATGTTAATTTATCAAAATGTACGTAGGTATACAATTGTAAACATATTTTAACACATTATTTAATATATTCTAAGAATATATTGTTATACATTATTATTTATTGTATTGCCATTTCTATATTAGTAATCTGTTTTTCTATTAGTAATACTGTAATAGTTGAATTAGTTTTGGTTATAAATAAATCATATCATATTGTGGTTACGATGACTAATTATTATAATATTATTTATCATGGATCATATTATTATTATAGCTCAATAGCTGCTATTAACTTAGTTTCAAGTTTCTTCAAATGATATATATATATATATTTTTTAATTACAGCAAAATAACTAAAATTTTAATTTTTTGTAAGATTATGTCAGCTCAATATTTGTTTTGACTCATGTGCAACATATATGGGTAAACGCTTTCACCGAAAACAGTTTTTTTTATGGTTTTTGAGTTACATTAGAAAAAAATAACCTAATAAAAAAAATTATAGAGGATATTTTATTGTTATTTGACTTTCAAAAAAAAAAATTGTAAATTAAAATGATGTTTAAATTATTTTGGGACAATACATAGACAAATCGATATGAATATCCTCAAAAATATTATTCTCTATCATTTTTGTTATGTGTGATTTTACTCTAAGATTACTCAAAAACATAAAAAAAAATGATTCTGTGTAAATGCGTCTTGTCTATGTTGTGCGTGGGCCAGAGGGAGAAAACAAACAGTGCTCTGGCATCCTCTTAGATATCCAATTTTGACAACATCTGAACTTGAAATGTCTATTAAAAAATATTGTGGACTTAGATGTCGTAAAATATTCAAGAGTTTCGAAAATTTATTTTGGTTTATCTTTATTTCTGCCAATTTAATTTGTTTTGTACCGCATTGATGTGGCAGGCGCCCGCCCAAAGAATGCAGTAGAACGACGTTTAACGGAAATATTGTACGTATTAACATAATATTGGCTATAATAAGTAATAACCTCCCTCAAATTATTCCCAAGCCCTCCACATTATGTTTTCCTACGTTTGATAAACATTATTATTCATTTATAATATGATTTACGCCAGTATTGGTCATTGCAATAATTATCTAAATATATAATTATAAAATGAAAACGACTATTATGGGTATTATTTTATTTTGAAAACATTAAAATAGGTTTTTTTTTATTATGGCTTATTTTTGAACTTTGGTATTAGTTTTTTATATTGATCGGGTCGTAGTGCCATCTAGGAAAATGAAAAAAAAAATGGATTTCATAAGACGTAGGTACTTCCTTTCAATTGAATCTAAAAAGGTCATCCAATTTTTGATGGTTTCTGCCTTGGAAATATTATGTTTTATTATTATTTATTATTAATAACTTACTGTAATTTGTATAATATGTTACGTATTATTGTTTTTTTTTTTGCACAACTATAGGTTATATTTATCGAGGTGATTATAAACAAAACTAAAATATTTAATATTCGATCACTTCGATTTAGCCACTTCTGATATAATATTGTAATGTACATAGTTCTTGTAAGAATTCTTTTGTCCGTTTAAATGTGCACTTAATTTTAAAAAAAATACCACACCCTCGTAATACCGTACTAAATCCCCGTCTATATGATCATAATAATATATTGGTGCCGACCGAAATCAAACCATAGAATTATAAGTGCCTGTTCGCTATTACGTATCAATGTATTAACTGCAGTAGATCAACGGGCATTAAAATAATAAAAGGAGGGTATACAACAATAATTACCAACACGGCAAATTCCTACTACACCTATACAGTGTGTTTGTAAATATTTTTTTAATAATACGTTATTATAATATCGTTGATATGACTTGGGCGAATTGATAGGTATCAATATTGCTCCTGCCCGACTATGTATTCACGGCCCATAATAATAAAAAAAAAAAAACAATCTGTAAACAACGTACATAATATATACATATATACACATAAGTACATAACACATAGATAATAATAAATTAACAGATATTATGTAAGTACCTATTTTGCCCGCAGCTCAACAGAAGGCTAATGTCGATGCCTTCCTACTTGATGAAAATCCTTAACTACTATCTCTTACGATATTATTATAAATTACCTACACAATGTGGTTTCCGTTGTTCGATTGCGTAAGTAACAATAAAATATTATAATAATATAACGCGAAACGGTGCAGTAATGGTAAAACCGTAGTTTTTTGTTCGTGTATTTTTTTTTTATGTCTTGAAAATAAAAAAAGGCCACCAATCATAAATATAATATGGGTAGGTACCTACAAGATAACATGGCATACGCCCGTGTATAGTTGTCTGAGGTGTGTATAATATGGTTTATGGACTTATAGTATATTGGTTTATCTAAACTCGCTCTTAGACTAAGGATTTCGTAATAATGACTGATTTTATCTTGTGACGTTCAGACGGAACTTGCCTTAAGATTAATGAAAAATGTACTTATTTTCAATTCTATTATATTGGATAAGAGTACAGCTTACCTACACTAACCTATCTAACAGTTTACCTACCTAACATTTCAATACTTGTATTTTTTTTTTCCGTCATGTTTTTACTTTTAACCTTCAGAATATTTACTATAAATTAAAAATCTTATCTATTGTTTAATAATGTTAAAATTATTTTGTATTTTATTTAAATTTTTATTTACGAGAAATCGTGTTTTGCTAAAAAAATTACTCGATCACTGTTCTTGTTTCCTGGTAAATTCGGACACAATAAAAATGCCTTAATTTCGTAAACAGTTTTGGTACCTAAACGGTGAAGTTTACAAAATTTCTTTTTTTCTACAAAAAAAGGTTAGATATGTGTTTATAAAAATAGTTGTTTTCTAGACATTTGTAACATCAAATAAAAGATAAGCTGCCTGTTTTTCTAAACCCACTATACATTTTATGAACATAAAAATACTGTCTAATATCCATAGGTATAACGTACCCATCTAAAACTATGATTTATTTACCTACCGGCTACCGCGTGGAAAAGGTAAAATAAAAACAAAGGTATGGTTTAAAATGAAACCGAAACACCGTGTCCACAGTTATCAATGGTCTTCACTATTTTAGTGATTGAGCGATATAGGTACCGATAGCTGGTAACGGATTTCGTTAGTAATTGCAGGTACTTACATTTTTATGTTTCTAAATTAATCTTATACAGCCATTTGGACTACATGATTTTAACGATTGACCTTCACTGGGCTTAACGATTAATGCAAGAACATATAAACGCATAATATATTACCTACGCATCGTGTTTAATGTTTATCATTACCCTTCACAATAATATTGTGATATTCTATGTATATCGCTATATCTATGACATAAGCGCCAAACCGCCAAAGTTATTAAAAATACGCAAGTCATTTGGGCCAATTATTCAAATATAATACAACAATTATAGGGGTATTAACATTTAATTTTACAACATAAATATGAATTACTGAACGTATTAAGTATACTATATAAATCATAAATAACCCATGTTCAAATAAAATTAATTTTTAGGTCATATTAATAACATAAACTTAATGTATTTATTGATTACGATACCTATTCCTTAGTATGTTTGGCGCTTTTGTGTGATACTATATTTTATTCTATTTTTATCTCGTTTTGGCGCTTGTATGCCAATCACCCATCGACATATATCCAATTCATCTAATGATGTGTTTTAATATTAGGTATAACTTATTATTACATGTTACTGTATGAAAAAACCTTAGCTGAAAGCCTGAACATTATATATCAACGTACCTTGTACCAAAATAAATATGGCCACTATTATATAAAAGGTATCCAAGTGGTCAAGTACCCACTTAATTCTTAATTATAATGACTTACTACAATGTATATTCAATGAAATAATTCAACACATTTTTAATTTATATCATATTTTATCTAGTCGAAAAAAATGGTTTGTTGTTGAACGTTGGTAAGACAAAATTATATCGTATTTCATAATAATGTAACAACTTACTTTATGCATACATTTAGGAACAGTGTGATAGCCCAAGTAATTTCCAAAAAAAACACCAACAATGACATTAGCCTGAAAAATACAAGAAAAAAAATGAGTAATTATTTACATTTTTTGGTAGCTCATCAAATCGATAAGACTATACTATTATGATAGTCAACGACGTTTTACATTTTAAATAGCAGCGGGATAAAGCTTCTATTCAAGAAAATCTGAAACGTCGTAATAAATATATAATATATATTATTTTTTATGACCTCATATCATATGCATATACTACTGTACTGTCTAGTATGGTATGATCTGAGATTATTATATGCCATATTATGTAGTCTGGAACCTGTAGTCTTAAGCACATAATATCGAAATATATACCTGTCTGTATAATAAAATAGAAATATTATAAAAAATATGCAATATAAATATATATATATATATATATACATATATGTATGTATGTATAACTATAAAAACCACTATTGGTAGTTTCATTTCGATATTTCAATCTATTGAAATATGCAAGTTTCCGTGAAGATCCTACAATCGTATAGGGAGGTACGCCGTGCATTATGAAAAAATAAGTAAATTCGACAAAGAATAAAAAATGTTCTAAACGTTGAACACTTACATTGTATATTATTTTGTCAGCTCATGCTGCACGTTGTGTAATCATTAATAACACAATAACCGTAAAATGTGATTCAAACATTGGTGTTTTAAGTGCCCCCGAGAAAACTGTTTAGGTAAATAGAAACTTTGTACACAGGAGGAATCTACAGCATGGCTACACATATAAAAATCGGTAGGTATTAAAAGAGACAGTTTGCTTTTGGCACAGCTCATGGGTAACTATGATAAATATCGGGTTAAAAATAATCTGAAAAATATTGTCCATCGATGAACAGAAAATACTCGATTAAAGATGGCATCAAACTACTACATTTTGTATTTTACACAATAATGTAGGCATTTAGGGCTGATATAAAGATCACGTATTTTATTACTTCTATTTAATATAATGTCATGTATACTTATGCATTTAACATCGGCATTAATAAATACATAAATCGACGCGAGTATAATTAGGTATTTAATTTTTTTTCAGGATATTGTTCAATTTAAATTTTAAAACTTAAATAACCAAAGTTTGAATGGGTGCACAGAATTATATTTCTTATATGAATTCAATAAATGGCCAAAAGTCAAATAAATACCTACCTACTTACTTACATTGATAAATTTGCAACGAAATTATTGTTCTAATCGTTGGTTATATATTTTGCTCAGGCTCTTTAAACACATCAGTTATTAAAAATAAAAATATTAACTTTATATTGGTTTTAGGGATAGGCGTAATGATATAAGTGATAAATATATTTCCAGCAAGTTAAATTGTTCTTTGAATATAGTCTATATAGATTGGTTACTATGGATACTTAGTATTTTAATTATAATTTAAACATAAAAAATAAAAATAGATTTTAATTATCCACCTTTACTTTTTTTTATATAATTTTTGGGGATGACAAATATTTCACTACAGCACCCTTTTTTGTTTTAAAACGCATTAACTTTTTTCCCATCTCCATCGCGCTGACCTATTTTTTCGTTTATACCTACCTGCGTAAATTCTGTTCTGTTTCTGTCGTTAAGAGGATTAATGACCCTACATCAATATACGTATATAGTACCTAAATATAATGAAATGTGACGATATCATATTGATGAGAGAGACCGGCTGATGACTCAAACTATCTTAAAATATATTTGAATATCTGCAGTTCTAATATAGATGTTATTTATATCTTATATTATAATATAATTGCACTTGCAAGACATCACGTAAAATGGTTTATGTTCTAAATGTGAAATATAATATTTTTTATGGTTTGTTCAAGAGTAATTATTCAAACCAAAACTGACATTTCACAAAAAAAAATAAAAAATAAAAAATAAAACAATTTTGTTTTTAATAAATCACTTGAATTAATATTATTTTTACTATGAACAAATTCAGGAAACTGGACATATATGTTTGAAATTAATAATTATTTATGATGAAATATAGAGTTATAGACTTTGGTAATCTGATTGATGTTTTTAAGCAATTATAACTATTAAATACACAAACTCCAATATCATACAATTTAATATGTTTGATACTCGGATAGTGGGATATAAAAAACCGTTCGCATATGAAATATTCAAATGGGTATATTAATAATGTATCTAATGTGATTTGAGTAAATGCATATATTATAATATATATATATATATATATATATTGACATATTTAATATATATTATATTTTATTGAAAAAGTTAACAAAAACTGTATTTAAATAATTTAGATTAATCAGCAATATGTGTACATAGGTAATGACGTACCCATATATATATAAGCTAGGCATACTATGTAATGTAATAATATTAACAATAATAATGATTAATAATAGTATATAACCTAGGATTTAGGTAGTTGAACGCTGTAATGCAATCAGGTGACAGGCAAGGGTTTCTCGATTGTTATATTATGTATACCCACAAGAATACAGTACAATTAATATGTATTTTACAATATTAATTGTATGAAATAAATCAAACTATTATATATTATAATTATTACGAGTTTAAATAAATAATTAATGTTGTTGATTTTTAGAGGCCATGTTCGAGAAACTATTGCTTTCAAAAAATTAGCTACCTTAAAATTAAAATAACGTCTGCGACTAATATAACTACTCTTTTCTGCAGTACCTGCCTAACTAGTATACTGAATAGATGATACAGTTTTGGTAATCTCATTGATCTTTAAGTGTATGACATTATTTGATTCGTAAACGTGAATGTGTAACTTTTTAAAAATGCACATTGTCTTATTGCAGCTCACAGGAAACGATGTAAAAATATAAAATGCATTTAGGTATAGATGAGCCGTTCCAAAAAAGTTACCCTTCGGTGATTGAAAAAAAAATTCGGAAAATAGCAGATAGTCGTAGTTTCATTAGGTCTTCTAATGTCAAATTATATAGGTGCTAATAATATTTATATTTATGAAATTAGTTACACCTATATTTGAGCCTATGCCCTAGTGGCTAGTAGTGTTGCCACAACAGTGTTAGTTGTATAGTAGGTATAGTATAACACATTTTAAATGTCAATACGAAAAAAAACAATAAAACCGTTAGTATATTTATCGCAAAATGACCTTCTGTGTTCAGCATTGATGGTTTTTTTTTTTTAATATTATGAAAGTCCCATTAGTCAACATACTTGTTCAACAAATTGTCTAAATATAAACGAAGACTATTAAACGACAACAATAATATTGATGTTGTTCGAACAGCAAAGGAAAAATGCCAGTAAGATTCAAAATTTTGATATGTTGGTGTGTGGTGGAAGGGTATGGGGTGCAGTAATTGGCACGGCCAACTAAAAACACTCAACTGTAAACAAATTGTTACTTTTTTAATAATATATTATAATAGGTAATTAGTTTTTGTACTATAATAACAGGTCCAAACATTTTTAAATTTAATAGGTATTGGGACCGAGTGTAATAGTAGAAGACGTCTAGGAGCGTTTCCGTAAAAATTCAAATAATTTCTGATCCTGAGATTTTTTCATGCCTGTTAATTTTTAATAAGACCAGTACATTGAGCCTCTCCTCATTCTTTGTTGATAATAAATCAGTCTTCAATAGTTTTTTTTTAAATTAAAAAATGTGTGGTTTGGTGTTGTCGTAAGTAATTTATATACAATATTATATATATACATTTTTTCATTGATCTTAAGCTCTGCAACTATGGCCATTAGCTGTTTGGGGCGGGGGAGGGGGGGCGGTTGATTTGAAACACGTATATTTGTATCGATTGCATGTGCGGCAAGGATGTGTAATGTGTTTCTAAAAACCCGGGTGGTCACCCATCCGAGTACATACTGCCTGTGTGTACGCTCAGAGAGCTACCGCAGATTGAGAGTACGACAGCGCCTCACTTAGCCACAAGTTTTATATAATTTAAAATATTTATTACCAATTCAGACTTTTTGGTTTTATTGTAATTTGTATAGACCATTATTTTTGAATTGGCTTTATAGCATAATTTTTTCAGTTTTAAGATATTTTATTGAGACATTTATAGGAAAGTCAGTTTCACGTATTTTGCTTTATATATTGTTTCTTTGTAATACTCACTTAAGCTTACAAGATTTAATCCTCTGTGGGTCATTATATTTTTAATCACTTATCAAATGTAATTTGCATCTTTAAAAGAATACTATCAAATCAAGAAAAGGAATACTTATATAAATACTACAAAGATTTTTATACTAAATCAAAAATATTCTTCAGGGCCACTTGCCACTTGTATTTGTAGTCGAATGATTAGTCTGTCTTCCTCATGTTGGGTTTTTATTTTTATTTTGATAGGTATTAACTTTCGAAACAATTAAAGTTAATTCATTAAATATTTCTTTAAATTATTGACTATTGGGATTTTCACAAAGAGTTTCTAAACCTCTCGATATAGTTTGACTAAGCTTCGGACGAATCTTGTTTTTGCATTGTGAAATTCTACTTTAATTCAATGCGAAGGAAAAACAAGCGACAGCTATAAACCCTGATGCAATCAAAAAATTACTTAAACAGTTTAACCAAACAAAAATATCGAATTATTTTTGCAAACCCTTTTTTATTTGTATTGGGCATTAGTCATTTATCAGATACCATACGAATAAATAAAAAATAAATCTATCAGATTAAGTGTTATCAATTATGAAAATAATTATGAAGTTAAGTTTTCAAGCGAACTTTTAAATTCGAATACAAGTGAAAGTATAGTACAGTTGATGGGGGACATGATGGTCCCTTTTGGCTCCCGCCCATGACAACGCCACTAGTTGCGAGTGCGAGTGTGTCGTCTATAAACTATATAATATTATGGTAAGGTATTGTTATAAACTTACATGATGTAAAGTCCAAATTCATGGTGATGTATCGCGATGTCGACACCTACGCCGAACATAACTGAAAATTCAAAATTATTATAATATATCACAATGGGTGTGTGGATCATAATATTGTATAAAATATATACCAAATATCTACACAGGTAATTCGTCTACCGCACTATATCGTACTCTATATAAAATATTCATAAGCATGAAAGATTAACTGAAAGATTTTCGAAAAGTAGACATACTGCGAGGTAGGTACGCGACAAACGGTGTAATATTAACAAATGTGATTTTATCGCTCAGCGTCCTTTATCACATTGTTTATGGCATAATTTGATGGTCGAAAATCATTCGTAACTCGAACATGCGATTCGACCATTTTGCCATCGTTTTCGTTGTTTGAGCGTTTTTCGAAAATTCAAAAACGTCGCGTTGCAATCGTAACGACTCTGAATTATAATAGTAAAGGAAAATAAAAAAAACATAGTTTGTTTTGAATTCGCCGGAAAAACGGCTGTTCGGCGAAATATAGGCAGTGACGTGACCGAGTAGATATATTGGTATTGGACAGCACGTGCACTACTGCAGGGTTGCGTTACCTCTATACCTGGGTATACCAAGGTACAGTGCGGAATAAATCAACGCAGTGCCTCATCGACTCACCGATAGCTGTGAACACGCCGAAAATCCTGATCACGTGGACGAGCTTGCCGAGCATCGACGCGGTTTTCGAATATCTGTACTCGTTCATCTCGGACGGCCTCGTAAAGTACATCCCTTCGTCGAGGCGCACATGTACGCTCGCACACACACACGCGCACACACACACGCACACTCACTTTACGTTGAGTATAATATTATATATTGTTTAGGTACTTTATGGGCCACCTCGTTACTGGTGGTCGCCTCTCGCGGCGCGGTATGCTGCCGTATTTTGGCGCGACTACTCGACGACGACAGCTGCAGAGCTCTCGAGGGACGTGACGTCCATGTCGGTTGGCGGCAGAAACGAGCGACGACGATGACGGTATGTATATACGTCGGCGTATAACACTGCGACGATTGCGTACGACGACCGCCGGATCCGGGCCAAGAAAAATCGGGGGAAAAAAAACGTCTGAAAAATCGCCGACCGACCGGCCGACGACGAGACTTGTCGGGCCGAGTGCGACCGTCCCTTATCGTAACAGCGGCAGGTTAGCCTAACCTTGCGATTCGCAGGACTCTAGTCGCAGGACCACCGCACTACTGGCACGGCCGCCGCGGCAGGATATACATGATATTTACGCGTTCCATCGTCGACATTATCGCGCGTAAATGATATTTCGCTCGTCACAACGATACCGCACAGCGTCGCAACACTCGCAAGTACACTGTATTAATATTATATATTATTGTGTGCGCTCGCACAATCAAACGACGACGACGATAATAATAATTATTCGTCTGCCAAACCGACTCACCTTCGGTCGCGCTGACCTTACGGCGGGCGTGCGCGAGTCGGCGTGCACGAAAATAAAAACGGGGAAAAAAATAAATATATAAACGTACGTAAAATCGTCGCTCGCACCGCACAAGTTCGCCGTGGAAGCGGAAGCGGTGTGCGGCGGAGAGGTGGAGGCGAATCGTGGCGGGGAAGAGTAAATATAAATCGTAAATATAGGATGTGGCGGCGGCGGCGGCAGCGTCGTCGTCGTCGGCGACGGGCCGCGGCTGTACGCGAACGGTTACGCGCTATACCTATATACCTAGTTTCCTAGTGGAAAAAAAAAAACCTTAAAAAAAAGTAAAAACAGCGGTCGACGACGATATTATTATAATATTATATTATGTGCGTACGATACACGCATAACATATTTTATCATATTATAATATATGCGGGCAACGGTGTTCTGCGCGGCCCGACGTGGTTATTGTCTATATATCGTACCGTCGGGACAACGGGTATGATATTAAAACAATATAATAATAATAATATTACATTATACTGTATTGACGAAAATATGTTGGCTTTATTATTATTTTAAACAGATTTTTTTTTTAACGCATGCAGTAATTTTTTGCAGGTAAACGCGATCGCGGAATATTTTCACGTCGGCTGCGTGATCACGACGGCGAACAGTAACCTTTTTTCTTTAAGCTTCCGATGCTCTTGCCGTCGATAGATATGTCAAAACACACGTTTATCTAGAAAACATAACAAAAAATAAACTCGCAGACAATGTTGTGTACGGTTTTGATTCCCCGTACATATAGGTAATGTATTATATTATTGTGCTACAAACCAGCCGTACAGCGTACGACAAGGGGAGCTTATTTGGCGTATAGAAGGGATTTCTATCGGAAACCATACCCATCACATATTATCACGGAATCACATCACACTTAATATTACCAATTTATTGAATCTTTAGTTCAATAAATGTATTTATGTGCCGGGTATACGAGCATGCATAACGATATTATAGGTACACGACTCGAACTAGGCAGTAAGAAAATAAATAACAGTTTTTTTTTTGAAAGAAAATCTATTGATATTATGTACTTAATTGATTAATGCAAATTATAATAAACGGGAATTGGAAATGTCCGAAGTGGAAGGGGCATGATCGTAGAACATCCTTGAGTAGGCACACGCGACGCGTGCGTGAAGTTGCCCTCCCCACCACCACACCAGCGGTGGCGTACGTAAGAGTTTTCAATGGGGAGGGGTAATATTTTGTCCAGTCTAATAATTTCAGACGTTTGGGCGAGGTATTTGAAAATATTTGTACGACTACTGCAACTTCTCGACTTTTCTAGTAGAAAAAATTCTCTGATCATAAATTTCTATGGATGTTTTTGAAAGCGAATTGGATCTAGTTGGCACTTATTCGGTAGGTCAATATTGAAAATTCTGAGTCTTTTCGATATAATCGGGAAAAACAAAAATTAATGAAAAATTAATGTTAATATTGTTTGGTAACCTTGGTCAGTCTTCACTTGGATTACATTTGATTAGCTATAGTTTTTTTTATAAAAATGTCAATAAAACATTAATATTTGGGTCAAAAAGCTTAAAAATGTAAAATACAAGATTCCTCATAAGTTTTTATCATAGGCCGATTTATAAAAATATTAACGATACAATAAAGGCACTATTTTAAATTATTTTTATAAGCATTTTAGGTTCAAATGTTGACATAACCACATTTAATTTGAAGTTAAAAAATGTATAAAATATTAAATTTGTACAGCCAAGGCTTGAAAAATTGTAAAATTATTACTTAACATTTTAATAAACTCGGTATGCAAATACAATGTTTTTGCAAAAATAAACTCAGCCTACTTAGTTATATATTATTAGTAATTGGCAATATCGAATCCGGTAAGACGTATATGAATTTACGTCCTTGCTAGTAGACAACCGTTGAAACTTGATAGTTTTTTTTTAAAAAAAGTGATAATAAAACAGGCAACGGGGAGGGGGATTCGACGCGTTAGCCTCCCTGGCTCCCTACCACCTGCGTACGACACTGTCAACTAGTTTTTTTGAAAATGATGTAGGTGTCCATTTTGTGAATAATTTGTAACATTTTAAATCATCATAGTTTCGATATTATTATTTATTTTATGCCGTGCTGGGAAATGATTTGCAAATAATTCTGAAAACCTGTTTTGAAAATGTTGATATCATTTTGAAGTCATATGAAGAGAGTTGCGTGACCCCCTCCCCCCAGATTTATTATTTTTTTTATATCAGACTGGAAAATTATTTGGAAACTCTGAAAACCTAGTTGCAAAATGAGCAAGTAATTTTCAAATAAATTGGTCGTAGTGGGGGAGCCAACTTAACTCGCGCAACATTTGCTGCATGTCCTTATAATATATTATTATTAATTAATTAATTATTTACCGAAGTGTTGACGTGAGTCGCAACCGAAGTCACTGGTCTCGGTAATGTGTGGTTTCTACCAGGTGTGCTAATGGCCGAAAACCAACGTTTCTTTTTGTCCACTATCCTCTGCAAGTAAAATAATTAATAGTATTAAAAATAATTATTATAATATACAATGCCACAGTAATTACATTACACAATATGTACGAATATCAACAGTTTGTACAGTCGAATGATTCATTGTACGATATTATGCTCGAGCTTTTTAATTTTCTAAATAGTTTATTTACACCTCATGTGATTGTACTGTTAATATTTTATACGAAAAGTGTTTTTGATGATTCAATTGAGTATAAAAATAAAGTAGGTAGTAGATATAGGTAGTGTGACATGTCGTCGATAGACAACATAACATTTGTTGAAGTCATTGAAATGGATTGAAATCCATCAAAAATGTAAAGTATTATATTCTCACAACCGATCATACGCACAGCATTGATGAGTAAGTAGGCGTAGCGCGTAGGTACTTACAATAAAATGATCTAATATACAATTCGATTGATACTGATGATGTCAAATACGATTTGATTTAATTATTTTGATGGCGTTCATTTAGGCTTGAAGGATATTCATACATTAGAGTCACGCGAGGTAGAAGGAAAATATAAGTGCCTACTACTTAGGTACGTATCTATCTATACTATTTCACTATATGGATTTAATTGTCTTGCCGTCTATTGGTATACCTTCACTATAACAAACGTTTTAATAATATGTAGAATGAATAGTACATTTGTTGTGGTTAAACATATCATAATATAATATAATATCACGAATTTACAAGTTGTATTTTCATATTGTAAGAATGAGTAATGACTTGTCCAAAAAAAAAAAAAACAACGCAATATTTTAAACGATTACAATAGTTATGTCTAGTGCGTTAACAGCTGATATAAATACTATTCACGACCTTCAACTAAAATTGTGCCCTCCTAAAGTTAAAAAGTAGGTACCTAAGGAATTGTGCAAAACAATATAATATATATGTAAAATATTTTAAACATTTACTGCCATGTTTCTGTTGATATCAGCAAACACAAGTAAGTACCTACTATTAAATAGTGTCTGAGGTCTGAGTCTGTAGAAGTATAGAATATAAAGTAGATGTATAGAATAAAAAATATCTATGCTACCTATGTATGTTTTAGATAATTTATGGTTTATATACTTGCTATTGTAGGTAGATTTCAAATTTTTATCACCTTCATAAATGAATTGACATGGTTTTTAATCAACCGAATAGTTGTATGCGATTTTGTCTTAGAAGGTACCTCATGTAAAGCGGTCAATGGCTAAATTACTATAGGCAGGTACCTCACAATTTAATGATGTTCATTATTCACTTTGAACGGATTCAATAGCCTAACCCAAGAGCAAGGGATACGTGTATTATGTGATTCAGTTATAATTTCTACGTAAACTCAAACTGTTATGGGAATATTAATGAACTTCATAACTTAATAATATATTATACGTTAAACATAAAGGTAACTTCCATAATGTAATCATCGTTACGATGCAAAATGGCGTTTTTTTTAAGGCGCAAGTCTGGTTTATTTAAATTATTGAATATCGGTATGAGTACGCGGCTACGTCATAATAGACCAGCCGAATTCTACTATTATTATTTAAGAATTTACTACATTGTTATTGAAACCTATACATTATATTCCAATTATTTTTTTAAGTATATAGGAACGGCTTACGCAAAACATAAAAAGTGGTATTTAATAGTATTATTGTTGTTCGTCTTTCGTGCGTCATACTGCGGAGTATAGATGATGTATTGAGAATTAGATAACTTACCATTTGATGTGTTTCGATAGGTGGCAAAACATTGAATTTGTTTTTTGGCCGTGGCTGTTTACTATATTCTTTGTTACTGGAAATTATAAAACGAAAACATTTTTAAAACAAAATTTTACTAGTTTTTTTGAATTTAAATAGTTGCTATGTGCACATATCGGCATCGTTTTATGGTACATTTGCCCAAAAAGTCTATACCAAGACCATTCGTGTCTAACTTTATATATATTTCTAGACTGAATTTTTACAAAAAAAGCATGCAAAATAACACAATATTATACATATTATATAGGTGTAGATTCTATGTTACGACGCTTCGAGAACATAAATTTCAATTATTCAAATGGCGGTTATGCTATTAACGTTAGAAATAATTCTTCAGACAATGACTTTGAATAAATTATTCAAACTACCTATTAATAATTAATACATTTAGTTATTTACTTTTGATGTCGGGATACAAGTCCACTGGTTTGGCTAACCGTTTCTAAATTCGAACGGGATTTAATCATTATTGACGGTCTGTTAGCCGGCAGTATCGATGAAACAATTAATGCAGACTCTATTCGACCGTAAGAATTTCGTCGTGTTTCTAACGCAGATTGCCTTTGGCCCACACTTTTGATGCTAGTTTTGTCTAATATTCGTCGCCATAAAGTTTCCGTCATGATATTTATTACTTGATTGCGCAGTAAATGTAAATCCCCGTTGTTAGCGGCGGTTGACGGTCTACTGTCAACCTGGCAACTTTGTTTATCATCCTCCAGAGTCTTTTCACATGAATACTCAATTCGTTTTCCAATTATTCTGTAATGTTCAATATTTTTTATATGCATTCAAATGAAAAAAAGGTGTTAGTATGATAGGCACACTAATACTATATGTCTGTAGTCATAATATATTACATAAATTTGATGTATTATAGATCCTAAAATAAACAAAAAGAAACCATATTTGTAGTTTTATCATAAAAAAAAAAAATAATAATTTTATTCCTACCCATAATTTGTACATAGGTACGTACACATATAAGTACATCACACTTTTCAACACACATATGGGTATACCAATTAAGTGAATATTATAATACATAAATGTATAAGTTGTGACTAACTATTAAATATTTAATATATAATAATAGTATTATTGTTATACTAAAATATAGTAAGTAGTTTATATATTTATACCGTTACTTAATAATTTAACAACGATTTGGTGTCACGGTGACGTTATTGTGACGTACCTACATTTAACACAACATTAACATTGCGTTGTATTTTTGAGTATAAGCCGACCTATAAAATAAATCATGACAGTAAAAACTAAAAACGTTGGAAATGATTGAAATGGTAGTAAAAAAATTTTACCTAGGCTACTAAGGTGGCTCATGAATTTTTAACGAAATTGATAATACACTTAAATGATCATCACATCATTTTCAATTACTTGTTACTGCAGTTTTTTCAAAAAATTACCTACTAAATTATATTATCATATTATAGTAGGCATTGTTATAAATGTTTGAAGGTCTCTAAAATTACCAAAAATTATTAAATGTAGTTACGAATTTAGAAATACCCATTTATACATATTTTATTATACCTACCTAATATAATTTAACATTTATCTTTTATCTTTTCATAAGCTTAATTCTTTCTATCAGCAGCTTTGCAATCAAAGTCATTATTTTAAACGCGATGAAATAATTAAACAGAGAATATTTCTAATGATCAAACAAAATACTTATGTACATTGAGATGCTCTGGTACCTACTGTGTTGTTTTGTGGAACAAATAAATTGTTTGTCAATGAAAGTTGTATTCAAACGTCTGCTTATATCGTCAAAGTAAAACTGCTCTCAATGAAGAATAATAAAATAAATAACAACATACAAATGAAAATTGGCTTTTGTCTTCTGTTATATAACATAGATTTATGATGATGAGTGATGTATAAACATTGACATAGTATGGTGAACTTGTAAGATGTTAAGTATAATTTTTGAAAATTTAAAATAAATATAACAGATTTTGTGTCAATTATTATCTAATTAACAATCAAAGTGGATCAGAATGGCAATTTACTTAACTAAGTTCTGTATATTCCAAGATATTAATACAAAATATACAGTGTATTTCTGGAAAGAAAAGTGAATGCAAAATCAAATTAATTTAATCCAAAATATATTCGAATTATTAATTATAATTAAGTAGGCAGTGAAAAAAGTTATATTATTAAGGTTTAGAATAGAAATACAGTTAATGTACAGCATATTTATTTATTTAAAATAATACCATAGAAATTATATATTAATGTGGTTATAATTTTGTAAATATTAATGATTAAATCGGCATTTGAGTAATTTTCTGTATTATTATTATTAGTTTAAAAAATTAGATTTAATAGGAAGGATAAGATACCCAGTTGATTATAGTTCACAGAAATTTGATAAATTACACGAACATAGAAATTTAAAATAACTTTTAACGTTTAAGTACTTACCTAAGTATTTTTTTACTTTGAGTGAAATACAAACTTTGACACTGAACCTTTTATAAATAGCTAACCTAACCTTTATATACGTATAGCTTGGTGTGCTGTCTATATATTCTGTATAATTTGCGATGTTGACATCAGTTAGGTATATGTATATTGTATACATTAAGTGTAAATAGGGTCTGTAAGACGGGTACAGGACTGTCATTTAACCCAAAATGTATTCGTTGCCTATCAGAAAATCAATAGAAAAAACTTGTCTCAAAATATACATACACAGCGGGAGCTAAGAGTTAAAACACATGTAGTTAAAAAGACGCAGAAACCAACTGATCCATGCAAAAATTTAATACATTTCATCCTAATTATGAAAAATTATTCAGGCATGATATCTATAATACATTTATTTGATTCTAAAATAAAAATAAAATATTTTAATACTAACAATATTCTGTTCTTTTAAGAACTCTTGAAGACTTTATATACCAAATAATTTATACATTTACATTACATTGTGATTTAGGGAAAATTTTTTCGTTAAAATCATTCAAGTTTTTTAGATAAAATATAGTATAATATTATGTTATAGTTTTAAATGATTGCATTTTTATCTCTACTAATTAATTTTTGGCTATATCAGAACACAATATAATGTATAGGTAATTGAATTACAACTACTTAATGATAGTAGTTCGAAATGCTATTTACAGCAGATTTTGAGACATAATATATCACATTATCATAATTATACTATATGATAAAATAAAAATAAAATAGTATTAAATTGTTTTTAATTTGCAACAGAAGTTAAGTAGTAATACATTTCTTTCGAATTATAACTTTTGTGATCAGTTATCAGATAAAAACTAAAATACTCGTAATGTGAAATGTGTAATGTTTTAATTAGAAATGGGAAAATATTATATATTTAATAATGCTTAAAATATTTATCTACAGGAATAACTCGCTGTCTGTTTAATTTAAACATTTATATTAATATTTTCTAATAATTTCAAAGTTCAAATGAATTACTTATTGCATTTAATATTTCTCAAAAACTACAAACAACGTCAAATATAAATGATATGCATGTTTAAATTACGGTTTATTATTATACATTTACTAAACGTCGTAATATTATGTTAAATCAAATTAAACTAATAAATTAAAAACAAATCATATTTAATATATATATATATATATTTTTTGGATTAAGGCTTTAACTACTAAGGTCATTAAGCCTGGTACTCTGTATGTGTGTGTGTGTGTGGGGGGGGGG